TATGAATACTTTCGCAAGGCACTGTATATATATATATATATATATAGTATTTGTTATTTATTTATTTATTTATTTTACCATTGTTAAAGTAACATTTTTTACATTTATTACTTTGCTATATTTGTATGTTTAACTGCAGTTAGTCATGTGAACAACCAGTCAGTAATTACACTGATTTGTTGTTCAAAGTGCCCTGCACTCTGTTGTCCTTGTGCCAGTTAGGCCTAACCAAGCGGCAACCTCCCACTCTCTCTCGTGAAGCCAACAAGGAAGCCCACTTTTGAGCTTCAAAAACGCTCTTCGGAAATCTACGGGTGACGTCACGGACACTACGTCCATGTTTTTATACAGGCTATGGGCCTAACCTTTGGTTTTGGCTCTCAGTCCTGTTGTACAGCCACTGTGTGGCCTGATGGGACATTTCTTGTGGTGTTGAAGGAAATTAAGGAGATAAATTTCAGCATTTTGAGGAGTCTTTTATTAAATCTCACCCTTAATTCAGATTGACTTGTGACTGTACCCAGGATGTACTGATTGTTCATGAATGTTCAAATGATTCTACAGCCATCACATGGAAAGTGTCTTTACATTACCCTGAGTGCAAATGTGACCCTCTCTACTGTTCTGTACCTGTATATAGATTCCATACAGTTTCATTCCGGGCCCTTAAAGGGGTCATATGATGCTGCTAAAAATAACATTATTTTGTGTATTTGGTGTAATGAAATGTGTTTATGCGGTACATTATTGTTCATACTGTACATTATTGTTTCTCCTCTATGCCCCGCCTTTCTGAAACGCATCGATTTTACAAAGCTCATCGGTCTGAAAAAGCAAGGTGTGCTCTGATTGGCCAGCTATCCAGTGCGTTGTGATTGGCCGAATTCCTCAAGCGTGTGACGGAAATGTTACGTCCCTTACCATATTGTGATGCCTGCGGCAACTAGGGTTGTGATGGTGAGGAAATTTTCCCACCGGTTAATCGACGTGTGCCAACACCAGTAATACCGGTATCACCGCGGGGGCCGGGGGCGTTCCCTCTTTTCCTCGCTTTCCTTCGCTTTTAAATAGCTTGTAAAAGCGGCGTGCGCATTTTACTTTCACTTTGAAATAGCGGCAATTCGGTGCACCAAGAGCTTGTAACACTCCAAAGAGAAAGGAAAAATTGAAATCGCATCATATGACCCCTTTAAACATCCTGATGGTCAATACATTCTGATTGGCAGGAATATTTATAGACCCCCGTGTGATGGAACATTAATGCAAGATACTTTTTTGTGCATGAGCACATGTGTTCCTGAGGATATATTGGTCTGAACTGGACAGGGCTGACGACGGTTAGAGGATGGAAAGATGTTTTGAATGCCACTGATTTATTAATAAAGCCAGCTTTATGAATGTTTCTCAAATTACTCTTGTGTCATGCTGATTCTTTCTCTTCTCTTTTTTTGCAGCAAAACCGTACAATCAAAGGTGGATTGCATTTTGGTGAGTATTTGATATGGAAAAATATGATGAAACATGTTGATTCACTGAAAATACAACACCAACAAAAATAATCATACAATTAATCAACAAAAAATAACCTGAGCTTTATCTAATAATCTAATATTATGGTTACAAATCTTATAAAACATTACAATAGACATACAAAATTTTAAACTTTAAACCATAGTAAATTGTATTAATTTGTTAATTTAAATATATCTGATTTGAGACATGGTGAATCGAATAATAACTTCAGACAGTAAAAAGTAAACAATACTTGATTTTGTTTGTTAATAAGGTAGACTGTCGCTTAAATTGCATAAGTTGTGTTAAACACAAACCCAAAGTGAAGGCAGTCCCTCCCTCTGAAAAAAATAGGTTCTCTTTGGTTCTTGGGTTACTTATAGTAATGGTATTGTTGTAAGTTACAACAGGGCTGGTTGTTGAGTGATACGAGGAGAAGTGTTTTTAAGTCAGATCTGTCAAATGATGGCATTATGCTGAGAAATACTGCTTCTGCTATCAAATATTACAATACTAAAATGCTATCAAATACAAAATATGTCCCCTCATTTATGGAGACAAAGAAATCCAAATGGGCTACTAAAGATCAGTGACTTTTGTTCCTTTTCTTATAATGCTAGAATTTTTTTTTTTTGCAATTTCGGTTATTTAATGTTTGAAATTACATTTGAGATGATCCTAACAAAATGTGTGGTTATATGCATGGGTGACATTTGACTCTTGAGGGGGTGTTTGTTTTTGTATTTTATGTCATTATTATAAGAATGGATTGGAGCACTATATTATTGTTCTAAGTAAAGGTGCTTTGTCAATGGTAGTGCTCGCTAAAGGCGGGCGTACACGGTGCGATTCTGAAGGTCGGAACGTCCTTTGGAACGAATCGTTTCGAAATCATTGGCAAATGACTCTAATATTAAATGTATATTCTGAGAAAATTACAATGTTTTCTGACCTTAGATGCATTTAAACCTGTTGTAGGGAACTCCGACACAATATTAGGACACTTTAAAATACCATATGACCTGCTCTTTACGCATGTTTAGCTTAGTTAATGGAAGCTGCTGCCATCAGAGCAAGTGTAATTACTGCTTTCACGCGCTCCTCGGATGCTCTCATTTGTGTTGTGAGTTGTGTTTGTATTGAGTTGTGCTTTTAAGTCGGAATGTGAAAACAACATGGACACTCTCGTTACTACAAAGATTTGTTGGATTTGTATTATTAGAGCTTTCCGACTTGAGTTCACGTGCATTTTGTCAGTCGGGAAATCATTTTTCACGTGCGGTGCCGGTTAGGGGTGCTCTGATTGATCGGCTGATAATCGCTTTGGGATGATTGATCGGCGATCTCTAAAAAGGCAGATCTCAAAAAAACGATCTCAAGCTGATGACGTGGGTACTCACCTTCATATTTCTTAATTAAATAACTTACAAAGTAATTTGAAAACCTTGTGTGAGACGTAATTTCACAAACAGCGTGAGTGAATCACTGCGCATGCTCTCTCTCAATATTCGCAAATGCCTTCAAATCACCACATCACGTCTGTCTATAATCGAGCTGCACAGTTGACACAGGAATTGTCACTTGCACAATCGAGGCAGTGTCACATCGTCACGAAATCGGCATCGTAAAGTTTATCAATTGCATTACTTTTCAATTCTTGCCAGTGTTTAACCATTCAGCGCTCGTGTGCTCTCCTGGAGACCGTGCGCTCATGCACACTCGCAGCGCACACACATAATGCCAGGTTCACATTACTCCGTTTGCAGTGCGAATATGGTGTGTATTTTTTCCGTGCTCATGTTAACGGATTAATGCGTTCACTGCACACGGATGCGGTCCGGCAGTGCGTTCCAGTAGCGGTGCTTCTGCACTGCAGCAGTGCAGAGATCTTTTCTGCACCCAGTCTATTTTTGCTGCGCTGCAAGCCCTGAATTAAAGTAACAGCGCATTTTTTGTAGTAAATATGAACTTGGATTGACAGGAAAATGTAGTAATTACACCATAAATGCATATTATTAAAGTCTACTAAAAATCCTGATTGGAGTATCACTATAAATAGTTATAAATGATAAAAAAGAAGGCTTTAAAAAGATCGGTGATCGGTATCGGCAGATAATGCTATCGGTGATCGGCCTCAAAAATCCTGATCGGAGCACCCCTAGTGCCGGTGATGATGCTTCTTTCGTCCGTTACGGAGAACCAGAGGACAAATATTTCAATCGATCGCTAAGGCATGGCACCGAAATCTGCGTTCTGATTCGGTTCTAGTACATAACATGGGTACCGGTGCCATATTGGTACCGGGCACTTAGTCATGAGATGATTCAGGAGCGTGCAAAACTGCGGCGCTTTCAGCGGTGAGTGAATTCTGACAAAAAGTTTCTGATTGGCCATTGCGTTTAAGAAATCAACAGATATGTCTGTGATTGGTTACAATGCTCAACGCTGCAAAAACACGTTGAGTGTATTTAGCGCTTGGCTAAGCTCTCTAATTGTAGCGGGGCCGACATCAGGGATTCAATGACTAACAATTTGGGGGGGCAATTGTGGAATGCCCAGAGAGAGGTCATTCATCTGTATTGGCTGACTTTGCTTTGACTTTTTTATAATGGTGTTTTCATTCAAAAAGGGTTTGGCTGGTTCAGCACTGACATTGGTAGAGTTCAGTCTTTAAGTGTAGTTTTTCTGTTGTGGTCAAAACATTGACAAATATGATGATATTAGCATAACAGAGGCACCGCCTATTATGGGAAACTAATCCAAAGTATAAAGAAAACTGTGAGACAGAGACACATAAAGATCGCAAGGCCGAGTCCAGAATGGAAGCAGTGTTCTTGTGCGCCCATCTTATTAGTCTTTCTGGCCACGTCCAAGCTCACATACATCCTCACACCTTCGGGACTTTTGTAACAGTGGGCTTTGAAAAGTAAATGTCATTGTTCGCTGCATGCGACATACCCTGCATTGTTTATAGTGGGGAGATAAAGTGCGGTAGAATCTCAACATTTAAGTTTCCACATTAGTGAATGTTTTCAACATTGACAATAATAAGAAATGTGTCTTGAGCACCAAGGAGTAACGGCTGCTGAAAATTCATCTTTACCATCACAAGAATACATTTTTGAAAATGTATTAAAATAGAATACCGTTATTTTAAATTGTAATAATATTTCAAAATGTTTTACTGGATTTTGAGCAAATAAATCCAGCCTTGGTGAGCATAAGAGCAGTTTATTGTAATATAGTTGTCAGCAAAGTAAAATAACTAGTGTGAAGCAGACTTTGGTTATCATATATTGGAGTGAGGACTGCATAAAGCATTGGGTTTGTCAGTGCTGATGTTTGCAATTTGTGAACAATTTGTGCATAGTTGAGGAGGTTCTCATCAGGTGATGTAGGGCTGCAGCCAATAAGGTTTTGAGTTATGTGGGGTGATGTGTGAGGGGAAAAGAAGGTGACAGTGGTTTGTTAATGGCCCCTCAAGGTAAAGAGAAACACAAAATCCTCTCCAGATATTAGGCGGTGTGCCCTGTGTCCGCTGCTCACCTCGTCTGTCCTCTCCCGTCCCTCCTCCTCTAGCCTGCCCCTGTTGACCTCTGCAGGATGTTGCCAGCTATCGCTGAGTCTTGCATCAGCCTCCTCGCATGAAACTTTCATTCCATAGTAGTATCCCACAAAGCCTTGCTTTTTAACACTTATTACCTCACATTTACATCTTGCTAACCATGTCACTCAAAAAAAACTGTAGTGCTTAAATTTTCAACATTCTGTGTCCTAATATTTCTGGCAATTTTTGGCAACCTTATAAAAGAGAAATTCAGAACAAACAATGCCTGATTTAATTGAACATTTAACTCTAGCAGGGTATAATTAGATCTTTTTTTGTGTGTTTAAGCTTGGTTTGTAACAAACAAGGTTACAGGTCTGATTTATTTTACTGGTTAATATTTAAACGGGATAGTTAACCCAAGAATGAACGTTTATCTTCTTTTCTGTTCCACATTAGACAAAGTTATACAGGTTTGGAACAACCTGAGGGGGGTTAAATGATGCTGAATAATTTTTGGGTGAACGATGCCTTTAAGCAGTTCATGTAAAATGCTGGAGATACAATACAATAATTCAGTTCATTATATTCACTCACTGTTCATTCAGGATTTGAGCGCCTGACTGTTACTGAATCATCACTTTGTGCCAGTATTGAATTGTTCCAGCATCCAGGCTTGGAAGAATTTGCTTGTGAAAATTCTGTAGGCTTGTCAGTAAGAACTGGGTTCAGTCCATCTGAATAATGCATGAGTTATTCAAGCATGTCTAGTAGGCTCTGTAGTGCTGAGTAAGGGGTCTGCACACTACCCAGGGGACATTACACCTGCATGAATGAGCTGAGTGATGATGAGCTACAGGTTCTTCCGAGCTTTGTCATGACCTGTTTGCCAGTGTCTTCTTCTCAGTGTTGAGACTAATGAATAAATTGCAGGTTGAAAACATGTTTAAAAAAGCTGTTCCAAAATCAATTTGTATATAATTCAGATATCCAAGAGACCTTATTTTAGTCTCTACAGGCATCTCATGTCCATAAATATGTTTTGTCCAAATGTCCAGTTTGGCTTGTATACTACTGTTCAAAAGTTTGGGGTCAGTAAAATAATTTTTATAAAAGGAAATTAATACTTTTATTCTGCATTAAATGGATCAGATGTGTCAGAAAAGGCATTTATAATGTTACAAAAGATTTACATCTCAAATACATTCTGTTCTTATTCATTTTTTTATTCATCAAAGAATCCTTTAAAAAAAGAAATAGGCTATATCACAGTTTTCACAGAAATATCAAGTATTTATCATACTTTACCACAACTGTTTTCAACAGTTTTTGATAATAAAAAACATTTTTTTTTTTAATGTTTACCGACCCCAAGTTTTGAACAGTAGCGTATGTGTTAATGTTTTTGTTTTCCACATGCTTATTTTTGTCCATCCTTAAGTCACCCAAGTCCTCTCCTAAATAGGGTTGTTCACTTGGCTCCGAGACGTCTGCATTCTCATGCCATTTTTACTTACCTTTCATACCCCTCTACAGTGTTAACGCTAACGGCGCTCAGTGGTTGATAACTTTAGCTATTTGCTAGCCATCTTTCCCTTAGCAACGAAGAGACGAATAGAAAAGACAGAAAGAGACACAACTATTCTTAGAATTCGACGGAAAGGGGAGGGCGGGAGAATGATGCCATCACTGATGAAGAGATGTTAGGGTGACAGGTGCATTTCCTGGCAGTCTTTCCCCAAGTTTCATAAGCTCTGTGTGTTGGTATTGTTTATTTTGACATGGCCCTTACCCCAAGGAGACAATGTGGACTAATTGTTGGTGTAGTTGTGTTGTGGGACTTTTGAAGATCCCCACTTCCATTACTCCCACAGGCACACACCATGAAAACAAAGGCTTGTTTATGCTGGTTTAACCGACTGCTCTGATCGCTGAGGGATTAGGTATTCTTCAGGATTATTTTTTACCTTGGATGACTTCCTGTTTAGGGTTATGCCGCACAATCCTATTGAAGTCTGTTTATTTTCATTTGCTGCTCACAGCTCTGCAGGTCTCAGCCCAGCTTGCTGAATAAATGCCTCTGAGTTTTAATATTGCATGTAGTTTCATGATGGTTGCCAGGTGCAGAAAACCTGTCAAAAATCACTTTAATATTTCTATCCAATTTATGTTTTCAGTGCTTTAGAAAAGGGGAATGTTTGGGGGTTTAAGTGTATGTTTGCGAGTGGGTAAGTGAAGATGGAAAGCAGCGCCTGGAGGGAGAGACTCGTGTCTGCTGCTCTCTACTCGGGCAGAATTTAAATCAGCTCTGCCCCACCCAAACATCTTACACATTCTCTTTGAAGAGCTGTTCAGTGCTCTCGCACACTTAACAAGAGCTATAAGAGAAATAAAGAGACCCGAAGATCAGAATAAGGTCTTTATTGTAGAAAGGGAAAGGGAGTTAATTTGTATTTGTTTATTGCTTTATTGTTGGGTAGCTGGTGAATCATTTTGACTTGGTAGGTCATATAACACTGACTCTGATGCCCTTCAAACATCTGTCATTTTCACCTAGACAGTAATGAAGTCTCTTGATTTCATATCGTTGACACATTGACCACTTGAATATTCTACTGTTAATTTTACTGTTTTTTTTTAATAGAAAACACTTTTATTTGGCAAGGAATGCATTAAATTGATCAAAAATGGCATCAAATGTGTGACATTATATTTAAAACAAATGCTGTTCTTGTGAGCTTTCTATTCATCAAAGAATCCTAAAAAATGTATCACAGTTTCCACAAAAATATTAAGCACCACAACTGTTTTCAACATTTATAATAAGAAGAAATGTTTCTTGAGCACCAAGTCAGCATATTAGAATGATTTCTGAAGGGTCATGTGACACTGAAGACTGGATTAATGACTGCTGAAAATGCAGCTTTGCCATCACAGAAATACATTACAATTTAAAATGAAATAAAAAAGAAAACATTCATTTTAAATTCTAAAAATATTTCACAATATTACAGTTTTCGCTATATTTTTTACTGAACATAATAGACCTCTTTCAAAAACATGGAAAAATTGCCAAAAATTGTACAGACCCTAAATGTTTAAACAGTAGTGCATATTATGATTATGATTTTTTTATTATTAATAACAAAAATATTGTTTAGGAGTAAATACATAAAATTGTGAATTTGTTCATTTTGCTTCAGAACTTTATGTGCTTCTAAAGACAGTTTTTCACTGTAGCTGAAAGCTTGTTTTCAGCGTGACCACTGACCAGGAAGTAAAATGCTGTCATATCACTTTTGTTTCATGATTTATCTTACTTTCTTACACTTCTAAGTTTGACAGTGATGACAGTAGATGCTTGAAATTTCATATTCTTGAAACATGCATGACATTCTAAATTCTTAACACTGAGCACACATCATCTGTGTTTCTGTTGCTTTGCAGCAAGATGTGGAGAAGCTTACAGACATTGAAAAACTCTACCTCTATCTCAAGTTGCCTTCTGGACCAAGCAGTGGCAATGAGAAAAAGTGAGTGATCTTTACTGTGTTCTGCTAAATTACATTCAGGCAAAATCGAGTGCAAATTCAGGGCAATGCAACCCTTCAGTAATGCTTTTATCATCTTTATCATATTGCATTTTCCTAATGGTAGGAGAAACACAGCTGCAAAACAGTGTCTGTGGCTACCAACTGTACATTAATTCAAATTGTATTGCTAAATGCTTTCCACTCAGTGAGCAGAGCTCCATGTCATCAAGTCGTACCCAGCAGTTGCACGCATTTAGCTGGATTCGCAACCACCTTGAGGAACATCCTGAAACATCGCTGCCTAAACAAGAAGTCTACGACGAGTACAAGTAAGTTAGGAATCCTGTGCCATCTTGTTTTCTCCATTCACTTAAAACTCAATCATCTTGAAGAGATGGAATATGTATATACAGTGATGCTTGAAAGTTTGTGAACCCTTTAGAATTGTCTATATTTCTGCATAAATATGAAACAAAACATAATCAAAATTTCCCACAAGAAAGTAGACAAAGAGAACCCAAACAAACAAGTGAGACATAACTTGTCCACATGATCTTTAGCAAGCTGCAGACGGGCAGTGAGTTTCTTTTTGGAGAGCAGTGGCTTTCTCCTTGCAACTCTGCCATGCACACCATGGTTGCTCAGTGTTCTCCTGATGGTGGACTCATGAACATTAACATTAGCCAATGTGAGAAAGGCCTTTTGTTGCTTAGAAGTTAACCTGGGTTCCTTTGCAACCTCGCAGACTATTACAAGTCTTGCTTTTAGAGTGTTCTTTGTTGGTGGAGCACTCCTGGGGAGGGTAACAGTGGTCTAGAATCACCTCCATTTCTACACAATCTGTCTGACTGTGGATGGGTGGAGTCCAAACTCTTTAGAGATGTTTTTGTAAACCTTTCCAGCCTGATGAGCAACAACAACTCTTTTTCTGAAGTCCTCAAAGATCTCTGTTGTTCGTGCCATGATACACTTCTGCAAACATGATCAGACTTTGATAGATCCCTGTTCTCTAAATAAAACAGAGCAGGCAATGACACCTGATAATCATTCCACTGTTTGAAAACGGCTCTGAACAGATGGACTCTAATTTCACCTTCAAATTAACAGCTAATCCTAGAGATTCACATACTTTTGCACCGCACAGAAATGTAACACTGGGTAATTTTTCTCAATAAATAAATGACAAAGAAAATATTTTTGTCTCATTTGTTTGATTGGGTTCTTTTTTGTCTACTTTCAAGACTTGTGCGAAAATCTGATGATGAATTGGGTCATATTTATGCAGAAATATAGAAAATTGTAAAGGGTTCACAAACTTTCAAGCAGCACTGTATGTATAATGCACTTTAACAAGTTGTTTTACACAGAGCTTGAGATTCTTTGTGGTCTCTGCAAATTGTAATTGATTTTTTGAAACGTGTGCTTCACAGGAGTTACTGTGATAGCCTGGGGTATCACGCTCTCAGTGCTGCAGACTTTGGAAAGATCATGAAGAACGTCTTTCCCAACATGAAGGCACGTCGACTTGGCATGCGAGGCAAATCCAAATATCCTTCAGTGGAACTTTTTGTAACAATCCCATCCCCCTTCTTTCCAGCCCCCCAAAGCAGACACACACATATACACGTTCCTGTCCCTGAACTCTGTGTACTAAAACATCTGTTGCTGTAATTCATGTAGGCGCTATATATAGATCAGAAATTGAATCAAATAAAACTTCCTTGAGTCCTTGAACAGAGTTTTGCTGTATAGCAAACCCCTTTACTTTTGGCTGCCAAATGCTTGATCTTGAAAAGACATTCAGCAAAGTGCCCATTAATTTCTGTACAGCCTTGCAGTGGAGATCATTTCTCTATTGCGCTGCATTAGGTAGTGCAGGCTATAGTCTTATTAACTTAGGTAACATAATTTGAAATAAAAAAGAAAAAAAAACATCCAATTTATAGGAATAAATAAAATTTTACATTATTCTAGATTTTATCGTGACACTTTTAATAGGTGATATGGAAATAAATTAATCTTCTAATTTTATAGTTTTGTTAGAAAATATCATAAGAGTAAGCAACATAACAACAACATATCTTTAGCTATTGCGACAAATCTCAGAAATTATGTTGTGTAACTGTGGTCGTGGTTATTTTGGTGTTAAGTAAGGCAGGGTTAAAAGTGCATTGGTGAGTGTGAATTATATTTTTTAATTTCAGAGTGGTGCGTCACTAAAATAAACCATGCTTGTTATTGACGGTTGCCACTGCAACGGAAACCCAGTCCTCACCAACTTTAATGCCTAAGAAAGCAATGCCATTATTCCAGCAGAGGACCTCTTGTATTTTCTTATGCTAGAGAAGTAAATAAGAGCTTTTTAGTGATTCATTTTTCCATTCAGCCCTGCAGTAGTCATACCTTTCTGGTTTGTGAACGTCATGTTTGATGTAATGCCATACACAGTGTACGTCTAGGAACAAAAACTGGCAATTTGTCAGCTTCCATTCTGAGCTCTATGTGATGCTCAGTAAAGGAATGAGGTTAAAGGTATGGTAGAAGTTCATGAGCTGGAAACCCACTATAGACCTGCATGCTGTCTCTTCTCATACCCAAACTTTTCATACCCAAGAGAGTAGATGGGTTAACAGTAAATTACTGTGTGATGTTGTATTTTTGGTTTGGTGTGTCATAGTCTTTACTTGTTACCAACACCTCTGCCCTGCATGGCTTATGGCTCTGGCTTGGCCTCAGTTGTGCTTTTTACATATCGACATTGATTAAACTAAATTAATATTTTAATTCCATAGAATTAACAAACATTATTATGTTATTTGCTTCATGCCAAAGTGATCCAATACATTGTTTGATATGTGGACATCCACCTTTTATTTGTTTGATGGACAGATGTATTTCCTTGACTTCTGTGAATGTATTGCTATAGTGGACTTAGGAAGAAGGCTTTTGTACACATGCCATCTCTTCCCAACCTAGATCTTCACAAATCAGGTGATGCGGTAAGTTACTACTCTTCTTTTTCATTTAGTTATTACGTATCTTTCTTTCTTGCTTTTTTTCTTTCTGTATGTTCTTGTCTTACCTCTGTTTAGCTGCAATTGTCACTCTTATTTTAGATATCACTCAAGCAATGGCATGTCAAAGTCTAGAATATTATCTGTTCTATTGAAAACTGTTGATTCACTTCATTCACTTTTCATTGTCAGTGTGAAGTGTTTGAACATACTGGTCAACTGTCCAGTGCGGAAGATGAGGTGCGCATGGCCGCATGTGGGTTGGTGTGCGAGTGGGCACAGAAAGTGCTGAGTCGGCAGTTTGACAGCGTTGAGGATCTGGCTCGATTTCTTTTGAACAGCCACTATATTGGAACTAAGTCTGTGGCTGCTCTTACTGTGATGACCGGTTCCCCCTCAGGTACAGTAAACTTGTAATAGGCCAGCAGTTGACTCCATGTACCTAAACTTGCAAATGGGTCTCCACCTTGTGGCTAACAACCATAAGACAAAGACAAAAATAATGCCATGTTTTGGAAAAATTCATGTATTTTTTTTTACGTCGTCATTATTCTACAATCAGTTCTCTTTTTTTTCCCACAGGAGCAAAATTGTCCATTCAGTCATCTGCATTTGCTCCCACAACCGATGCACACTCATTCCAACCTCAGGTTAAAACCCTGGTCTCACCCTCCGTAGATGCCAAACAGCAGCTACAAAGGAAGATCCAGAAGAAGCAGCAAGAACAGAAACTGCATTCTCCACTCCCTGGTGAAGCTCAGGCCAGGAGGGCAGATGGGGGCATAACTCCTGGGGTAGGGACAGGCATACCCTGTGGAAGTCCTGCTCTTCTTTCACCTCAACCTATTGGAATTGTGGTTGCAGCTGTTTCCAGCCCTATCACGGTAAACTATGACTTTTACCCTAAATAAAAAAATTACAAATGACATTTTAAAGGGATAGTTCACCCAAAACTGAAAATTCTGTCATGAATGAAGGAACACACCCTCGTGTTGTTCCAAACCCGTAAGACCTTTGTTCATCTTCAAAAACAAATTTAAATATTTTGATGAAATTCTGACCCTGCATAGACGGCAACACAACTGACATGTTCAAGACCCAGAATCGTAGTAAGGACATCTTTAATATTGTCCATGTGACATCAGTGGTTCAACCTTAATTTTATGAAAGTACGAGAATACTTCGAGAATACGCAAAGAAAACAAAAATAATGACTTCATTCAACAATTTCTTCTTCTCCCTCTCAGTCTTTGACGTGCGTTCACAAGAGTACCACACTTGCAAATAAGGCACAGTGCATCAGCGTTCTATGTTAGAACGCCGGCTCCTGCGTTAGCAGCATCACATGCATGCGTGGTACTGTTATGAATGCATGTCAAAGACAGACAGGGAAGAAAAGAAATTCTTGAATAAAGTCGTTATTTTTGTTTTCTTTGCGGACAAAAAGTATTCTCATAAATGAAATTACGGTTGAACCACTTATGTCACATGGACGATTTTAACAATGTCCGTACTTTCTGGGGCTTGAACGTGTCAGTTGCGTTGCAGTCTATGGAGGGTCAGAAAGCTCTCGGAATTCATCAAAAATATCTTAATTTGTGTTCCGAAGATGAACGACGGTTTTAGGGGTTTGGAACGATATGAGGGCAAGTAATTAACGACAGAATTTGAATTTTTCTGGGTGAACTATCCCTTTAATTTAATGTTTAATTTATACTTATTATAAATTATATATAATAATTTATAATTATTCTTTGACTAATATTTCACATTTCTCCTTTTTTGTATTTCCTGCAGGTTCAGAGGAGCAGGCAGTTGTTGTCTCCTAGTCCTGTTCCCATGGGAGCTGCAGACAGCAAAGTTCTTCCTGTAAACTTTCAAATGGTTACCCAGTCAGTGCAGCCTGTGAAGCAGTGCCCCAAGACACCTCGTAATATCTCGGCTAGTCCGATAAGCGATCGGTCAGCCCGTCACCGGTATGCCCAAATCCTGCCCAAGCCATCTGCCTCAAGTGGCATAACCCTGCGCTCACCAACATTGCTTATCACCAACAGCCCCATCAAGACAGTAATGTCAACTCCGCACGTCAGTTCGGTCAATGTAGTTAAGATGACGACCATATCTCTGGGCTCTAATGGCAGTGGGATCAGCACACCTGCTGATACTCCTGCCAGCAACAAAGTCAGACCCGCATCTGCTGGAGTTGCCAGCCTCAATGACGATCCACAGCCAGTTACGCGTGTTCGCAGTGGGTCTATAGCGGCAATGCCATCTATTTTGGCAAGGTCAGGGCGCTCAACATCCACGATCCCTGCCATCGACACTAAAACAAATACTGAAGCCATAATTGGAAGTGGTCAAGAGCACGGTGGTACGAGTAGACTGGCAACTCTGGACACCGTTTGTGGTGTACAGCGGTCAGGGATATTCAAACCCAGAGTGGCTAGCATACACACTCCTCTTGACAAGGGCTCTCTGGGATTGGACACTTTAACAGGGACCAAATGCAATGAGAGGACACTCCTTAGTGTCAATACTCTGGCTGCTGGCAGCAATAATATGTCCAACACTAATAAAAGCACTTTGTACCAGAACACAAATAGCACTCAGTCAAACAGTGGTAATGCGGTTGTGACATCACCCAAAGATGCAGTGTTGGCATCCAAGAGCCCTCACAAAAGACCTGGCTTATGCACTGATTTGAGCCCAACACCTGTTAAAAAAGCCCACATTTCTGTGCTACCAGCAGGTGGATCCGATGGACTGAAGTCGAATGTAATGGTGAAGCAAATTCCAAGATCAAGCACTCCTATAAGGCCAGAAAGTGCACCTCTCACAGCCACAGGCAAAGCTACTGCATGTCTGGTCAGGAATACTGGCTTCCAGACAGTTCGCAGGCCTCAAAGCATCTCCCAGGGAAGATGGCAAGGAGCTTCATCAGTAAGGGATTATAGAGTTTCTGTCACCTCTACAGCAAGTCAGGATACTTCAGTGAGGAATACCATGTTTCAAACTGTTTGCAGACCTCGAAGCATCTCCCAAGGGAGATGGGAAGGATCTTCAACAGGTGTCGAAGTTAGAGCTGTGGTCACCCGAACTGTTAGCGCTCCAGGTCAAGCTTTGCTACAACAAGTAACCAAAAACTCACAGGATTTGCTTATAGACCAGTCTGACTCTTCTGCAGCATGTGAACTGAAGAGTGTATTTTGGGATAGTGAGCTGCAACATGGTACTCAACAACATCAGGAAGTTTATGGCCTGCAAATGGTGTCTGAGCCAAAGCAAATGTCCACCCCAGTGATGGAGCCCCTTCCTGCAATTGCTCGAGCCTCTCCTTCCAACCAGCAGGCTCAAATGAGTGACTATGGAACCCAGGCCAACCTTAGCTACTTTCCATTTGATGATGACATGACCCAGGATAGCATTGTTGAGGAACTTGTACAAATGGAAGAGCAGATGAAAATTAACAATAGCATACAAAGTTTCAGCAACTGTGTGGATAATTCACTGCAAGGCCAGCAACAAACCATGCAGACTACCATGATGTCTTCCCTCCAGACCAACACCCTGTATTACAGCTCTGCTCATAGCAGCAGCACCCCAATCCAAACACCCACTCCTACACCTACTCCTACTTCTGAGATGATAGGAAGTGGTCACGGTATGATGCACGAAAGCCCCTGTTCACGCTTAGCCCCAACCACTCCGGTCGACAGCGCTCTTGGAAGTAGTCGACAAACACCTATTGGCACGCCACACTCCAACTGCAGCAGTAGTATCCCACCAAGCCCTGTGGAATGCAGGAACCCTTTTGCCTTTACTCCTATTAACTCCAGCATCACTGGATACCACGATGGAAGTACCGTCTCCTCAAGCCCTGTAAAGCCCATGCAAAGACCAATGGCCACACATCCAGATAAGACTAAACTGGAATGGATGAACAGTGGGTACAGTAACAGTGGTGGGAACACCAACAATGGCATTAGCATTCTGCCCACCTACCAAGACCTAGTAGATGACCACTTTCGAAAGCCTCACGCCTTTGCCATCCCGGGCCAGACCTGTCAGTCTCAAACCAGACATCATGACACTCATATCAGCCGCCTGACACCCATTTCGCCCGTCCAACAGCAAGTGGCAAGCATGGCTAGCCTCAACAAGAAAGAGGGTTTTGCTGTTCCAGCACCCCTTGACAACAGGGCCAGCTCAGGGTCTGGAACATTTCGATGCCGCAGCGTTAGCCCAGCAGTCAGGCAGCGCAACTTGAGCGGGACCCAAAATCCCAATGTTCCCCACTCTGTGGTCTCTCCTTTCAACTCACCTGTAACACCTGAAGTGCTAAACATCTTTTCTAACAGTGACCCTGATGCAAGCATCAGCAGCATGGCACAGAGGAGTCAGTCTGTTCCAGTCACCGTGATGATGCAGTCTGAGGTTCTACCCATGCAAGCAGGCCAGCAGATGAATACCAAAAACATCACCAATGTCCTCATCAACAAAATGGATGGCGATGGAGATGACTCTGTGCGTGGCATCGGAATCAACAACATGCCGTCCAACTACACTGCCCGCATGAATCTTACCCAGATTCTGGAGACCACCACAGTGCTCAGCTTTCCTGGTAGTGCCAGCCACCAAGCTCTGATCTCGCCTTGTTCATCAGCCTTTGAGTCCCAGAAGCCTGGTTACCTCATGAAAAATGCCAGAGAGGAGCTGATGAGCTTCTCTGTAGACGAAAGCCAAGCACAATCAGCCTCAGGGGAGCACCAGCCGCCACAACAGCAGCAGCACTTAGGCAGACGGCAGCTCCTTGGGCAGGGACAGCAGAGTCAGGCAATGCTGTTGCCTCTACAGCAAAACCTCCAACAACATCAGCACCAGCAACCCTTGGATTTAGACAGAACTGTTAAAGATCTTTTACATGAGGAAAGCTTGAATGCTGGCTCACAGCTTGTGGGTCAAGGATCAGAGCTCAGTGCTGGGAGTTCAGAGTTTCCCAGCGATATGCGACTAACCTCTGAGCTTACCGGTAGCATAAATGACTTAAATACATTGGACACCAACCTTCTTTTTGACCCCAGTCAACAGCAAGGACAATATGAAGACTCGACACTGGAAGAACTGAAGAACGACCCACTTTTTCAACAAATATGCAGCGAGACTGTGAATTCTGCAGGCTTTGACTGGTTGGAGAGCAAAGACCAGGCAACAGTGGAAATGTTGGGTTAATTTGTGCTTTTGTGTTGTTTTGCTATTTGGATGGGTTTCTATGTATGTATTTTTGAAATCTCATCAACGTATGTATTCGTCTTGTCGTGCAGCACCTACTGCTATAAGCCCCTGGATGTCACAACACAGGTCCATATTGAAGTGCCAGGCTTAACAGAAATGATTGCCCTTTCAAGATTGCTGGTTCTTTGTCTCAATGGTTAGTGAGAAACAGGCTAAACTAGAAGTACTGTCACATTTGTCCTGCTCTTTCTCACCAGTTTTGCAAGAAAACACGTCAGAGCTTTACATAAGAAGTCATCTGAGAAATTTTTATGCCTCTACACTGTTTTGTGCATTCAGTGACACAACTTTTATATAACCCTTTGAACATTTTGCAGTAAAAGGGCATTGTATGGAAGATTGGAAAATAACTTCTTTTTAACCCTTTATCTTAAAGAAAAATATTTGTATTTTGAGGTTACACCAGCTATATGAGGTACTGTACCTCATCTAATTAGCTTTTTCACTCTGTAAACAAAATCGGTGCTTCCATGTGCAGAAAATCTGCTTTGAACATGATGAACATCTGTATTGTCTTTCAGTAAACAAATAATAAGGGAAGATCCCATTAGCAATGTTAAGCTTTCAGGTGATGCTTAATATTGAAATACAGCAGCTTATACCTGCAGCCGCTGTTTACAAAGTAATAACTTATTGCACACAAATGTGCCACCATGTTGGAATTCGTAACGTGAGCCAGTAAGCAATTTACATTTGCAGCTTTATTCTTATTGTCAACCACTATGTCAGTTGGGAAGTATGCATCTACTTGCACAAAATCGCTTGTTACGTTAAATGAATAAATGAGTGCACTTTTGGAATTTAAATTTACTTATGCTAATATTTAACTAAATTGAAAGGTAAAAATATTGACTCGTGTAGGGTTTTTTCCCCCTAAGCTGCATCTCAGGTTTCCCCAACCTCTAGATTGGAAGATATCAATCAGATTTTATCCAATAGAACAGGCTGATGAATAAGCACGGCACTGGTTATTGCACTAGCTGGCACCTTTATATTGCATTTACAATTTGAATATGGTTTTAAAATGGAAGAATTAGAAGGAAAAATTGGTTGGGTAATCATAACTAATGAAACCAAAATGCCAAAGTGGAGTATTGTTGTGGGAAAAAAAAAAGTTATAGGACAGTTGTCAAACTATCCCAAATGTTTGTTTTATTGTTAACTATGCATTTATGTGGCCAAGAAATAGATGGGTAGCCACTTTTCTGACTCTTTTAATTTTCCCCAATGTCATTTGGCAGTTTGCATAAATGAGATTCATTGAAGTATATATTCTCTCGTGCACATGCCTTGTTTTGGCATTTTCAACGACTGTTTTATACTTGAGCACTTCATTCAGGAACTTCTTTATAACGCACTAATAAAGAGCCTTTACCCCTTAATCAAAGTATCGCACCAGCTGTAAAAACATCAGGAAACTGAAAATACCCAGATCACATTACAAATAAATGAGCTCAGTGCTAATATCATCAGATAGCCCCCTGCCCCCACTCGCTTTGAAAGCTGGAATGAAGACATTTAATTCAAAGGGCCATTACTGTACCATGTTGTACTGAGGTACTTGATTAGTAGTCTGCTTTCAGAATCTTACACTTTGATACACTTTGTTGCTGAGTGTGGTAGTTATTGAATTCCATCTTAGCCTTACTTCCATACCAAAGACAAGTTTTGTAATTACTGAGAAAAAATAGAAGGACTTCTACCGTTTTAGTATCACCACTTTCAGATTCAATTCTTACCCCAGTTTTTAAGCATGTTTTAAAATGCATTTATGAAAATGTCACCCAGGATTAAATGGGGCCAAGATTGTGGGGTTGAAAAGGGAATTTGTTTTATGCATAATTGTCATTTGCATACGACCACTGTAGCACTTGAATTTTATTTACATGACATGTCAGATTTCATGCTTCTGGGATTTATAGCAGGACAGTTCTTAGGAGATGAAGAAAGTCCACAATGGAATTTCTGTTTGTTGTGACGCTCTGTAAATAAGCTCCATTTATAAAAGGAAAAAATGACACTGTTTTACAAGTTTGACTAACATTCTTATTGATAATATGACCATGATGATAGTGATCCAGTGGTCTTTGACAACGTTTTTGTTTTGTTTTTGTTACAATTATTAGTTTACATAACTAGACATCTCTTGTATAGATATAGCTTGTTGTGAGTTTTAATTTTCAAGCTTTTTTTCTCATTTATTTATTATTTGGCTTCCAGTTTTTTTTCCCGCAGAAGAGTGTGTGCTTTTGTGTGAGAATATAGCATGGATTTTAAAATGTGTTGTGGTTTTGCATATCTTTTTTTTTCTAGCAGTTAACACTGGAAATGTAACAACTGAAAATTCACAAAGTTCTTCTTTTTATTGCACTAATTTCATTGAGGAACTTTGCTGAGAATTTCAGTGCAATACATGAGGTGGGGTTTAAAGTAAAAAAGTGTCAGTTTGTGTTCTTATGTTCAGGATCCCTTTGAGGATCTCGTTGAGAAGTGCGTACATGTAAATGAGTGAAAGCAATTGAAATGTTCAATTAAAAACATTTAAATAATCCACTGTTCATTTACAAAAAAAAATTTTAAATTTGCATTTTATCACTGTACATACGTCATGACTTTATTTACAGTAACGTGAGTATTTCTGTCCAACAGAAGAAAATTCACTTGTGACATGATTTTTTTTTCCTTTTCTTTAAAAAAAAAAAAGACTTAACTTCCTCTTAAAAGTATGTATGTAAACGTTTGTTTTGTGAACAAGCACTACTATTTCTACTTTAATGAAGAGGCAGGCCAGAGACGTGACTGTATTATTCTCTGACTTGGTAGAATTGTCCGTTCCCCTTGTCTTTATTTCCTACCTTTGCTATTCCCTCATGTTGTTATTGTTTATGTACAGACTCTTTATGGTAGTTTGATGAAATTTGTTATGACATTTCAGCAAGATTTTCTTCATTCTTTTGTATTGAAAGTGCTTACTGATGTTGAGATTTTTTTAAGTGGTTTTAAAAACCAATAAACATTTTGTAAAGTATTGCAAATAATTTGTTCTGTCTGTTTCAGACCATTTGGAAAGCCAGGATTGGCTTGTGTAAAAATAGTACAACAAATCTCATTTTAAAGATTAATTTAAATGATTGTGTGTAAAGAATGCAAAGCTTAGCTCTGGATGCAAGTCCTGCCCGCCTTATTTTATAATAAAACAGTCAACCAGTTCAAGCTGTACTTTGAGCATGGAGAAACAGCTCAGCCAGATCCCTATCTATATGGTTAAGGTGGCTTTAGCCAGGTTAACCTTTATCACGTACAACCAACCTATTGAAACTGATTTAAAGGCACAATATGTAAGATTTTTTAAATTAAAATATCCAAAAACCACTAGAACAGTGTTATATATTTTGCTGACTTCTGTACTTCCATTATCCCAACTGTTTCGAAGAATGTTTAAATCCAGAGAAATTAGTAATTTTAACTAGTGACACGGACCGTGTCTGTGTCTCATTTAGAAGGCTGCGCCCTCCGGAGGTCGCATTCGAAGGCTGCATACGTCAATGTGAAAGCTGAGACTTTATATGAAATCAAAGTTTAAATTAATTCTCAAGTTTTAACTTGATATTGTAGTTTATATCATAAAGTAAATTGTGTTATGAGCACAGTATGTACAGTGAGCACTTTGACAAGACAATGCCAGACTGTCAGGATTAGGGATGGAGCTAAATCATCTCTCTTTAATTTCACTAACGTTACTTATTTACAAAGAGTAAGTTTATCGTCACTTGATTATAAGGATTTCATAGCTTATCATAAATCTGTTGACTTATTATATATATTTATTTTTTTTCTCTTCTTTTTAGCCAATTGCAAACAGGACAACGCAAGCCTTAAGGAAAGCTGAAGAAAGCATGTTCTCTGCATTTCCAAGAGAGTAGGCTATATTTCCACAGCCTAATGTTGTATTAGTACTTGTTAAAACCCAGAATAGCCCTGAATGAATGGCCATCAAACCGTCGCACAATAATAAAAACAGACCTCGGGGTATTGTCTTTCACAGGTAAGACTGAACAGTTGTTTCTGTATGTTTTTTGGTCATTTTTAGCTGACTTATTATATATATTTATTTTTTTTCTCTTCTTTTTAGCCAATTGCAAACAGGACAACGCAAGCCTTAAGGAAAGCTGAAGAAAGCATGTTCTCTGCATTTCCAAGAGAGTAGGCTATATTTCCACAGCCTAATGTTGTATTAGTACTTGTTAAAACCCAGAATAGCCCTGAATGAATGGCCAGAATTACCCTGGTCATATTCAAACCACACACTCTCTCTCCCCCCCTTACTTGTTTCTTACTTTGTTTAATAATTATTACACAATACTATTATAAAACCACATTTCATGATTATTTATTTTACTTTATAATTGACTATTAATTTATTCTTCATTATTGTCTATTCTATATTATTCCACCCTTGATATTACATATTCTACTTGCTATTTTTCATCTATTGTTATTCATTTATTTATTATGGTATTATACATATAATTTATGCTATTATAAATCTATTATATACTGTTGTACTCGCTTTTTATATTATTACTACAACTTGTACTACATATACTTTTTAATATTACATATCACTTTTACTGTGCACTGTATCAACGTTTTATTCAATTTTCTCAATGATGGTAAATTATTAGTGTTTAAAGATGTATTATTTTGATTTTATTCCAGTATTTCAAAGGGAATGAGCTGTGTTCTGACGTGAAGCACAAGAAAAGCTAAAATGTTGGGGTTGAAGACGGAGAAAGCAATTAAACAACTTAATTTAATTTAATGTACATTCAAATTACAAAACATGTATATGTCACAGTTATACTACATTAACATTAGAATTGTAAACCGAAAAAATCTATCAAATCAACAAGTG